TTTTTTTTTAAATCACATCTGATAAAAAAATAAAATAAATCACATCTGATAAATGTAGGGTAAATAGAAAAAAAAGAGAGAGAGTTAATAAAATTTAAAAAAAAAAGATTACTTAGGATACAGGACATAGGAGAGAAATAACAGGAATCTTCTAGAAGACTGTAAAGAGAGATTCCAGGATGCCAACTGTGCATGAGATTTAAAGGACAACCAATCCAGAACTTAGCAGTGTGACTAAGACAGCAAGATGAGCTGTTATCATGCAGATAACCACTGACATTGTTCCTAAGGACAAAATGCCCAGGTCAGCCAGTTCTAGATGTTTATCCAAACTTGGCTTGTCTTGACGTACCTACTCATTCCACCTTGCCCTATTGTCTGGATCAGATGAGAACACTCATTTCACTTTCCATCTAGATGTACTTTGCTTCGATCTACTACATGTTGGAGAAAGACCACCATGAGCTTAGAAACAAAAAATACAGAACAGAACTCTCTTCGTGTGACCATACACCAGCTGAACAAATATGCAATAACTGGCCCATCCTGTCCCACTGGCAGATACCTGACCAGGGTGAGCCTTATGTTACTGAGAACTAACTCACAACTTTGCTCACTGATTTTCTGAGAGAAGCCCTTGAAATCAACAAACCTCATACTAGACTACTCAGGTTATCTTTTATGATAACCCTATCCTAAATCGATTAGCTTGGCACACTATTCATTTTTTCAAAATAAGTAATATATTGCTCAGGAATATTTCCGTAGATGATAAAACTATACAGAAAACTAAAGGACATAAGTACATGTCAGGATAATGGCGCCTCTGGGGATAGGGTGGTGATATAAGAAAGGGGCACTCATAGTATTCTAAAATTTCTTAACCTGAGTGATAGGTAATGTGTATTATTTTTGTTATTCCTAAAATGTACATAGATTTAAAAAAAAATTTAGGCCTAGTCTTGAATAGATATACATGTATATTTTATACACCCTTCATTAGGTATGAATATTTCACAAAAAAATTTTTAATTAAATTACAAAACAAAGATACAGAAAAATGTGAGGGTTTGTGTGTATGTGTTTTGCTTTTGTTTTTCTGG